AGGAAACCCTCATGCACTGTTGGTGGGAATGCAAATTGTTGTAGCCACTATGGAAAATAATATGGATGGTCCTCAAAAAATTAATAATAGGATACTCATTTTTCATTTGACAAAACCTCCAAAGATATTCATATATCCAGGAAAGATATAGTTTAAAGATTCAGATGAACAGCTGGGTGTACTGTTCAAATACAGAAGATAGGTGCCATTTTTTCTTTGCAGTTTTCCATGACTTAATAGCGTGAGGGTGTGTTTAGGAAGCCAAAGAACTAATTTTCTACAATGTCACCTACTTAAAAAATATCTACAGTCACAACTTACCACATTCTGCTTCTTCACTTTTTTAGTTGAGAAAGGTTGATATATGTTACAAAGTAGAAGTTTATGATGGGCAAAATTTTTTTTATTTTTCCTGTGTCAGTATTTGCAACCATCTAGTTAGAAGTAGCATTTAACAATTCATCAGAACAGGATTCAATTCAAATTCTAAAAAATGAAATGAGAACATTTCACTGGAACAATAAGAAACTAATGAGAATTGATAGAAAACTCAGTTTTTTCCTTCATTTTTTTTTTCCAGAAATGATTTTGGTTTAGAGAAAGGACAGCAATTCACAAGAGTCGATTGTGGCTTGAAAGGAGAAATTTAGGACACAAATAGGCATTGGACTATGTTACAAAATTTGGAACAAAACTGGAGTTCATGGAAAAAAATATTTCTCCCACTGCATGTGCTGTATCTAAAGATTAGCATAAGTCTTTCAAACATTCAATGTTTATGATTTTTCTATTAAAATGCAAGCATCTCTTAGGATTGCACACCCAAAATCATAACAATATTTGCTAAGAACTCATGCTATTAACGGGCCAAGGGAAATGTTCTGGGGAATGTGGGTAGAAAGATAGGAAAACAAGTGCTGTGCAGAAAATGTAGAACACAGAGACAAACCTTCTCTTTTTCAATTTCTTGGAGAAACTTGCACCATAACATTACACTAAGAGTTATTGTATGGGATGTTGTATTGGAAAGAGCGGTTTATAAAATACAGTGCTTGCACAACTTTTACCTTGGTTTTCAGAATGCAAAACATTCTGAAGGTCATCCTTTCTTCCTGGGATGATTAGTTTTTATTTGACAAAAATCAGTTACTTTGGAGTTGAGCAAAGCTGTATGTCAATGAATTGGTTGCAATCTCATCAGGCAATCAGACATGAGATCAACACAGCTGTTGGGACCGTAACAGCCAGGAAGGTTCTAGTCAGAGTCCAGACAGAGAGGAGCAAAAAGCATTGTTGAAACATGGGGTGACACCAGCAAAGGTTTATTAATATATTCTTTCAAGAGATATTTAAAATCAATGCCATGCTTTCAAAGAGTATAAAACATTTTAGTCTTAATATGGGTAGGATTTTGGCTGTTCTTACACCTCTTCCTTCAAAAGTAAGTACTACTTTCTTTGAAAAGTGGGCATATAAAAGCTTATCTTGTGACTCTGAAGCAACATATACCATATTGCATACTAAGATTTGTGGATAATATATTTATTTGCATACAGAAATATGTATTTCTATTATACATTTCATTGCTTTATTTATAGAATATGTATATTAAGCATACAGCATATCCCAGGAAGATACATTAAATAAGCACACAGTTCATGCTGCAGCGTGCACCCTCTTAAGAGAAGCATATTGGAGAGGCATGGTATTGTATATACATGCTGAAAGTACACTTTGCACAAGTCATCTGGCTTGGGGTGCTTCCCTAATCTATTTGCAACACCAGTGCTGTGGTTGTTGAAAGGGATATTATCAAACTGGGGAAAAGGCAAGTATCAACTAAGTAGGAGAAAATAAAAGTAGATTGCATCTCTACAGGTATATTGTCATCAGTTTGAACTCCCATTTCCCCCAATATTAGATCTTCAGGATAAAAAAAGCAGTGAATGGACAAAGAGTAGGAGTATGTGGGATCTCCAGCTTCCATATCCACACTGGAAAGCTAATCTCATATGACTTATTATTATTATTATTTTAGATTGTACTTTTATTTTTAGAGCAGTTTTAGGTTCACAGCAAAATTGAGCGAAAGGTACAGAGAGTATTTATATACCCTCTGGTCCCCACACAAGCACAGCCTCCCCCACTGTTAAAATCTGCATCAGAGTGGTACATTTGTTATAATGGCTGAATCTACATTGGCACATAATTTTTTTTATTCAACGTCCATAGTTAGCATTAGGGTTCCTTCTTGGTGTTGTACATTCTATGGGTTTGGACAAATGTAAAATGACTTACTAGATTTTGTCTTAACACAGGATCTGCCATTAAATTAATGATGAACTGGTAAAAGGGCAATCATTTCTCTTTTTTTTTTTTTCCAAGAAATGACCTGGCCTTTTCACATATTTAATCTCCTCTTCTTATAAGACCACTCTGTGATATTTACATTATTGCTACGAGAAGAAATTCTTGACAGATATTCACCTTTCCAGTGAAAACAAAGGAGATGAATCATACTGCTTCTGAAAGAGGCTCTTAATGTTTTTGAAAGGACAAATGTTAGCTCCTATAGAAACTGACTACATCAATGCAACCATTTTAATGGCCAACTACTGAAACCTCAATTGACTGGATTCTGTGGCAATCTAATCAGGCACTAAGATGTTGGAAACATGTATTATGTGCCTGGTCTGGTGATTCTGGATATGTAGATGTGGCCTGTGTTCCCAATCTATAAAATACAAATACACCAGACTCAGTGGATGATAGTGTGTCTGAATCACAATTGGTGAGCATTACCTTATTCAAACAGGTGAGCAATTTGCATTGATATTCTAATAGTGATACAGGATTATTTTCCCACTTATACAAAGCAAGCTCTAGAATCCCTTGAAACAGACCAGGGTTTCTCAACTTTTGCACTATTGACATTTTGAGCCACATAATTTTTAGTCGGGGCAGGTGGATGGGGCTATCCTGTGTAAGCTGTTTAGCGGCATCCCTGGCCTCTATCCACTAGATGCCAATAGCCCTTCCCCAAGTTGTGACAACCAAAAATGTCTCCATACATTATTAAATGTCCCCTGTGAGGGGGGCAAAATTGGCTTGATCCCCAGTTGAAAGCCACTGAAATAGACAAATCCAGCAGTAGTTAATTCAAACCTTTGACTACAGTCTCTATATCTGTCTAAGCATCTACCATTTTCAGTATTCTTTCCATTTTTTTTTATTCCGGTCGACAAAACTTCCAAGATGTTTCAGTCTATCTTCAATTCCTTTCTTTAATCCTTGATGCTCTCTCTTTCAATAACAGGTGGCGAAGACCAAAAATAAAAGGAACAAAGGGAAGGGTGCGATGACAATGGCGAGTAACAGGCAATTTGACTTAAAGTGAGTTGGATTGTTGCATACAAGAGACCAGAATCTGGAATCCTCAATCCTTGGATCCAAAGAGTTCATTCCACTAAAGGTGAATCTACATCATAATAGTGCAAGTTAGTAAGTGAAACATTCAGCCAGTCAATTGTTTTGTTTACAGGGAACCAAACACTCTATTGGCTTGATGCTTCTTCCACACAGTTTATTCCTGGATTTGACGAAATAAAATACAAATAAATATTAATTTAAAATGTAAATGTTTACATTGACATCATTGTAGTGTGAAGGAATCTAAACTGATGCTGTGTGTTTATACATGGAAGATTTTTTTTGGGGGGGGGGAGGGGGGATGACTGAAGTTATTCAACTAGGAAGTTATTTTTATAAAGTTAAATTAAAACATTGTTGGCAATTTGCTTCTTCCTGGCTGTTCTTTTTGTTGTTGTTTGTGTTGTGCTTTTGGTTAACTCTCAAAATTGTTGAGATGCCATCAATGAGGCAAGTCACACAAAATAACTAAATTGCTAATGTCTAATACTGATTAAGTCATCATGCAGTTCACATAGATATATAACTGGTCAAGATGAAGACCATAAACCTAAAAGGCAGAATATGAAATTTGAAAAAAGTTTTATAACTTTTATTTCTATTGATTGCATCATCTTTAGAAAATCTAATTGGAAGACTACAGTGAATATAGTAAAACAAAGGAGGAATGAAAATAACTAGATAAATCATGAATAATGTAATCATATATTTATTTGGGGTACCAAATAAAAAGTATCTACATGGAGAAGATTCTTTAAAGCCACTGTTTGGGTATTAGTTCCTGACATGACTTTCTGATGGTCTAGTATTAGAGACATATTAGAATGACCCAGGTACAGCCACTACATTCTTCTTTCAGATTCTGCTGAGCTCACCTGGCCTTTGTTTAAGTTATCTACTACATGTCTGTCACAAGGATTACTATACTTCTATTGATGGATTTTGAAGTTAAAAAATTTTAGGGAGAATTGACAGTTGAGGAATGAGGAATATACGGTTTCAGTAAATGTTTTTTAATTGCTTATTTTTTTCTCTCCATTGGATCATAGGGTGGTTATAAACAGCCTCATGAGCTGAATATTGGCTTTCAGAAAGCATTGAGGGGAAGGTCTTAATTTCTTGGGATTGACCCAGAGGTCACTGGTGCCACGGGAGTATATTAATTCTATTCAGAATTCAACATGAAAAAGGCAGCATGTTCTTCCTGCTGACAAAGGCCAGAAGTTCATGTTTTACATGTTAGCATTTCACATGCGGGTCAGGCAGATTCAGGTTGAAACAGAATGTCCTTTCAACCACCCATTTTCTTAACTGAAAATTTGCCTGGTCTCAGTAAACTTTCTCCAACTTTAATGACAACTATTTAATTTGATGAAACCTCAATTTTAAAAAAATAACTTTGGCTTCTCAAACATGTTTATGTATTAGGGAGACTATTCTATTAAAATAAGAGGCTAGTTTGGGAGAAAACCAGATTGGTGAAACCATTTCCTATAAAGAATCATAACTGAACCATATCCTTATAGGCTGTTATACCACCAAAAAATGCAAAGGACACAGTGATCAGGGATGAAATGCCCCTTTTTCATGGCTGTCTCTGGTTTAGTGCAAGTCCTCTATAATATGCCCTCACACAGTGTAGAACAGTACAAAAACGAATGCCAGAACGAGAAAAATAATGATGTGGTCTCATTAGGCTTTTTGTTTGTTTGTTTTCTTTTGGTGTGAGGAAAAGCAAAGGTAAAAAATAAGCATTTATAATATTGCAACCCTCCAGGTAAAACCATAAGAAAGGAAGAGTAATATATGCTTAGCACTCTGAGGTTGTTTCTACACTCCTTTTAGTTTTATTCCTTTACTTCTCTATGGCATAATGTCTATTTCTTTATGTTTAAGTCTCCATGTTAGCTTGTAACTGTAGCCTTTCATTGACTTATATCAATACATGGGAGCAACAACAAAAAAGGAGCAAGGTTATTCTTCTTCTTGTGCAGAAACTGATAAAATTGCAGATTCAGAAGCCCTTCTTCAAGAGACAGAAAGTGTAGAGCATTCTTAAATCCACATGTTCAACGTGTGGCTTTCATGGTCTCATTGCTCCTACATTGGCAGGGCTTATGAGGTGAGAGTTTCCCAAGCTGGAGCAGAGGCACAAAAGAGTGTCACTTTTGAGCTCCTTAACTGCACATCCATAATAAGACTCTAAAGTGCAATGGCAGAGATTTTAAAACTAGCTCTTTTACCCCTCTTCTCCTTCCCAAGTTCCCCGTGACCACCTTCCTTTGTCCCAAAGAGGTTTTACCTCGTGGCGCCTATGTTCTTGTAATGACACATGAGAAGGTGTTTAAAGGTCTTCTTGAAGGTGGCATTGCAAAGGGCATAGCAGGCAGGGTTGATAGTGCTGTTGATGTAGCAAAGCCAGTAACCAATTGTCCACACCGTGTTGGGGATGCAGGGTGCACAGAAGGTGTTGATGAGCACCATGACGTTGTAGGGGGCCCAAGTGATGATGAAAGCCAACAGAATAGCCAAGATTGTCCTGGTCACTTTCTTTTCCCGGGAAGGAGGGGGCTTCTTCTTTGCAGGCTGCTTAGTCATCTTCACGATCTTGCGAGCGACCGTGTTTTGTTTTTCATCTCCATTCTGACCTGAAGAACCAACCAGCTCCACGGTGGTATTCGTCGGGGCACACGAGTCACCCTTTTGGGTCTTGGTGACGATTTTGATACATGTTTGCTTGGAGTTCTCATCTTTGGAATAGCCCAGGGAAGTAGAAACTGTGTTTTCATCCTGGGTGATTTCATCATCTCTCATGTTAGAGGCGACAGCACTGACGGAGGTGGAATCGTTGGAGCTTTCTTTCTCCTCCGCCTGGACACAGTTTTCAGTCACAGCATCTCTAGGGGCTTTGCCATTCTGCATTTTGTTGTGTTCCAGGCCGTCAACACTGCCGGGCATGTTGTTGTTGTTTGGCTTCACTATCTGTCCTTGGATCAAACTTGGAGACACTGGATCTTGGTTGGCCGCAGGCTCCTTCTTGTCCTTCTTTATCCTGCTCTTACTGGCTCGGGATATGTGCCAGTATAACACGGTCATGATGATCACTGGCAAGTAGAAGGCTGCAATGGCAGTACCGAAGGTGACAGCAGCGTTGGAAAAAAACTGGATGTAGCATTCCCCATCCTTCACAGTTCTCACCCCCACAATGAACTGCCAGAAGAGAATCGCTGGAGCCCAGAGGATGAAGGACAGGACCCAGGCAGCTGCAATCATCATACCTGCCATTTTCGTGGTCCGCTTGACAGGGTAGGTGAGCGGTTTTGTGACACAGAAGTACCTGTCAAAGCTGATAATGAGCAGATTCATCACGGAGGCATTGCTGACCACATAGTCCAGGGCTAGCCAAAGGTCACACACCACAGGTCCCAAAGGCCAGTAGCCAATCACAGTGTAGAGGGTATACAAGTTCATGGAGAAAACACCGATGATGAGGTCAGCACAGGCCAAGCTGAACAAAAAGTAATTGTTGACGGTCTGGAGGTGGCGGTTGACTTTAATGGAGACCATGACCAGTATGTTCCCAATAATGGTCACCAAGCTGAGGGATCCAGCCACAAGGACAATAAACACCACTTCAAATGTCTTATAAGGACTGGTCAGAGCCAGGCCATTGTTAGAGGAGTTTGTTGAGTTATTCATTTTGTGTTCTCTAATCAGTAGCCAAGTAGCCAAATAAACATCTAAACCTGTAAGGAAATAGAATAAAATTAACAAATATAATATAAACATTGCTTTAAAATATATCAGATTTCTTCTTTTTGGACCACATTTACCCAAATCCTTCTTTTTTTCTACCTGTTTATTGTACCTACCTGCCCCAATTAAAAGGATGATTCAAAAGATACTTTCAGGCTGGCAATGTATTTAAAGTCTGATAATGTTTTCAATGTGATCATATCTAGATAAGAATATGTCTGTCATCTATCTATCTATCTATCTATCTATCTATCTATCTATCTATCTACCTCTATCATCAATCAAGTAAACTGAGCATAATGTTCATGAACTGAACTATATAAACCAAAATTTATAGAAAACTTTACAAAGCATCAAGAAGTTCCCGATATGGACAAAATTATGGAAGAAAGCATTAAACTTATAATATTGATTTGTGACTTTTATAGTCAATAACTCCTTTACACCTGGTAGCTCTACAACTTTTTTATAAGACTAATAATGATAATAAAGATAATATAATAACACTTTATTAACCAATACACTTCACCCAAGAAGTATTATTTCCTTGACTTCTGTTTTACACTTGCAGTCAGTATCAGATATTAACATTTCTAATATTCCACATATTGCAAAGGAAGCTATTTATTAAAATACTAGAGGCCTGATGCACGAAATTCATACAAGAGTAGGCCTTCCTTCCCCCGGCTGCTGGCACCAGCTTCCCTCTGGCACCCGGGACCCAGCTTCGTCCGGGAGGATGTCCAGTGTAATTAGCATATTATGCTTTTATTATTATTATAGATATATTGATATGATTGTATCAATTTTTTGAATGTTTTATTTTTCAAATTACTCTCAATACTATATTTCTATTTTGTTCTAGCTATTTCAAATATATTGCTTCTAATTCCATAGTGAGCAAATCATTACATTCTTTCCTTATACATTTCTCTAGTAAATGGCATGAAGATTGCCTCAAATTGCTTGACATGGTGTTGAAATGAACATTTTCACAACATGTCATGGACTTGCATGTGAATTTCCCTATTGGTCATGCCCAGGAGTGAGAGCACTGGATCAGGTCAGGGTATAAGCTTTCTTCTGAGGACCCCTATATTGTTCTCCTGGAGGGTGGCTGCAGATCCTACCCTGATCAGGTCAATCCTGTTTCTCAATAACCTTCAAACAATTGTTATGCATCTTCCTAATGTTGCCAACCTGAGAAAGGTAAAATTTAGCTTTTGGGTTTAATTTGTATTTTTCTGATTATTAGAGAGGCAGGTTCCTTTTGAGGCATGTGGAAGTATTACTCTGGTAGAACATAGTAAATGTTAACATACTTAGTTGTTATCAGAGCCTCTAAATTTTTGGTTGTAATATTTACTTGTTTCTGTTAGTGCTATCTGTAAAAATGGAAAACATTTCACTTAGAAGCAAGCACAGTGTTAGAAGGATGGCATTCCTTTCCCCGCATGTGATACACAAGCTATGTGAAGACTGTTCTAGAAAAAAAAGTTTCCTTTTGTCAACCTCTTGCCACCTCTGCTATTTACATTTCTATAAAAGTTTTACTTTTGGTGTGGCATCATAGGGCCTTATTAAAACAATAATAGGTACATCATTTATAACATAGTCACAACAGACTAAACAATGAAGATAACCTTCAGAAGACTCAACATCTTACTATGGCAAGTATATAATAATCGGTTTGGAATTTTATGATGTTAGTTTATGACTAAGTCCCAAAAGTACTATAGAAACTTATGAGAAAAAAAATCCCCTGCCTTTAGCTTTCACTACTTGAATTCTTATATTTATTCTTGCAAAGTTGTGGGTGCTAATATCTTCTTAATGACTAGCTGTGTGAGTCTGATCATGTCACTTAACTTCCATGGACTATTAATTTTATTTCTTTCTCAAACAGGGATAATAATAATGATTTTTCTTCTAGAAGTAAGGATCAAAGTGAGATAATGTCTCTGAACCATAATCTGTAAATGTTAAGCATTAAATAAATGTTCTTAATATTCAGAGTTGTTAAATGTATGTAGGTTTATTACCTTTTTTAACAGTTAAGAAAAAATTGTGTGTGTGTGCTTATGAAATAGATTCAGTGTGGGGTGTAGTGATAGAGGCAATACTAAATTATCATTATCAATGACATTAAATTATCAATAATTTTGAATTGTAAATGACAATAATATTGATAATAATGAATATATACGGAACATGATTACTCTTCACAAAAACTCCTGAGGTGATTTGTATTATTATTATATTCTTTTTTTTACAAGCATTAAATTAAAAATAAGACAATTTAGTTATCTGAGACTCAAACCCCCTTTGCCTAACTCCAGATCCTGCTCTAAATATTTATTGCTTGTCTGAGGGAAAGTCTTACCCAGCAGCAAATGTGTGCTCCAAGTATTCACCCCTCTGACTTGCCATGACTAAGCCCTCTGCCCCAACTTTAAGTTGGATCTTTGGTTTAGGCAACACAGGATCTTTGTGTCTAGGCTAAAATTGTGACTTTGAGCAGCAAATATTCACAATAAGATACAGGGTTAGTAAGTAGTGTTCTGCACATTAAAATATATGACATCTAATATAAACATTTTTCTAAAAGCAATCATCATAAAAATATGTCACCTTGTGAATTGATATGTAACCTCTAACAAAAATATTCAAATCAATCACATAAACATTCTAAACATTCACAGTAACATTTTTATGAAGTTACAAAGAGAATCCTAATTAAAATGATTTAAAAAGATTGGATATGTATTTAGATACACAGTGGAAATTAAATTAAAAAATATAAAATTTCTCCAGTCATGCAGGATGCCGGATACATGATGATCACTTCATAGATGTACCCACAATGTAATACGCTAATAAAAATTTATCAATACATGAATAACTTAAGTGATAGAATTTTTTGCACTTTAATATATTGAATTCTCACAACAACCCTGAAAAGAAGTATCTTTTTCAGTTTTAGAGATGACAATAATCAAATAGCTGGCAAGCACCTGGTAGTACCTGATTCTTAGGGCCACGATTCTTCCACTACACCAGACCATGACACAAAACCTGATTCGCTGTTTTTAAAGTTCTTTGAAGAATAAGAAAAATTGGGACAAAAGGAATTCATGATTGATAACAATTGGAATCCGGAGAGAGAAGATATGTAATTGTATAACAAAATTTCAGAACAAGAAATTAAGAGGAATTCCAATGAGGTTGAACTTATGATTACATATGTTTATTTAACTTTTGTTTTTAAGATATAATTTTGGTGTGTATATACTTTGTATAGTATTCTGATTTCTGCTGCTACTCAAATACATTACCAAAAATGGCAGGGTGTTCTGGGTGTTCTCTGCCTATCCCTTTCAGACACTGATCTCTAAGAAGCAGCCCACTTGTTGAGCAGACACTAGGGATAAAAATTATCAGCCTCACCAGTGGTGCCTGAAATTCTAACTGATAGAATAAATAAGGGCAATAATAGCTTTTTAAACTGTGTATTTAAGGGCTAAAAAGTACACTCTGTCCTGAGATAATTAAAAGTTTACTTCAACAATATTATGCCTAGATATTTAGCTTTCAATACAAAATACAACTACTAGAGAAACCATGAAAAAAAGGTGATAAAGTGAAAGAGCAGACTGCCATTGGAAGTGAGACTATACCTACTGAGGAACTAGGTGTGATAGTCTAGAAGTCTCACCCATCACCTCTCTTCTGCCCGGAGAGTGAGATGTGGTAATTTTGCATGGCATTATTGCCAGTTAGGCAGCAAATGAAGTTTATTTTCAATTTTATATAATGAAAGAGATAACCACTGACGTATATAGTCTATTTTCTGTTTTAGATCTCATAAAGATTCAATTAATTCCACTAATTTATAAACAGCTTTGGTGCTGGTATTTATTAAGCTTTGAGATTATTCTTACATCAGTGATCAGTCACTCCTGCCATCAATGATGTTGGAGAGAAAAAGAAAGAAAAGAGAGTTGGGGAGAAACATTTTAAGGAAGTCTTGGGGAGCCAAGTCCCCTTCTCTGAAGGAAGGTTTCATCACACAGTTTTGATATTGATGCAATAGACAGGGTCCTCAAACTTTTTAAACAGGGGGCCAGTTCACTGTCCCTCAGACCGTTGAAGGGCCAGACTATAGTTTAAAAAAAAACTATGAACAAATTCCTATGTGCACTGCACATATCTTATTTTGAAGTAAAAAAACAAAACAGGAACAAATACAATATTTGTATTTGCATGTGGCCCGCAGGCCGTAGTTTGAGGACCCCTGCAATAGAGGGTAACACAGTTTGCTTATATTATGACTAGAGGCCAAGTGCATGAAATTCATGCATGGAGGTGGGGTGGGGGGTCCCTCAGCCCAGGCTGCACCCTCTCCAATTCGGGACCCTGCAGGGGATGTCCGACTGCCGGTTTAGGCCTGATCCCTCTCACAATCCGGTACCGCTGGCTCCTAACTGCTCACCTGCCTGCCTGATCACCCCTAACTTCCTCCCCTGCCAGCCTGATCACCCCTAACAGCCCTCCCTGCCAGCCTCGTCACCCCTCACTGCCCCCTCCTTGCCGGCCTGATCACCCCTATCTGCCCCCCCTGCCTGCCTGGTTGCCCCCAACTACCCCCCCACCAGCCTGGTCACCCCCAATTGCCCCCCCAGCTGGCCTAGTCACCCCAACTGCCCCACCATGCCGACCTGGTCACCCCACGCAGCCTGCTGTCCAGTCGTTACTGTGACAGCATCCTGGACAATTTGCATATTCCTCTATTATTAGTATAGATGACTCATATGAGTGACTTTCAATTTTACTTAAAAATAAGAGTTCTGTCCTGGGGCTCACGACACCTTGCAACTCTGATAGCTGACATTAGTGATATTTTGACAGCATCAGGCAGAAATGAAGTAAATGTACACTTTTAAAAAATCAGGTTTTCCTTTGAGCTAAGCAACACATTATGAGCTACTGT